CCGTCACAATGGTCCGTCCATGGCCTGCACGGACCATCACCATCCACATGGTCCGTCCATGGTCTGCACGGACCATCACCGTCCACATATGGTCCGTCCATCACCTGCACGGACCATCACCGTCCACATGGTCCGTCCATGGCCTACACAGACCATCACCGTCCACATGGTCCGTCCATGGCCTGCACGGACCATCACCGTCCACATGGTCCGTCCATGGCCTGCACGGACCATCACCGTCCACACGGTCCGTCCATGGCCTACACGGACCATCACCATCCACATGGTCCGTCCATGGCCTGCACGGACCATGGCCGTTCTCTCCTCTACTACAAGTATTTACTCTTTCAGGTGTGGCTCCCGTCCCGTTGCCATGCCAACATGGAGCCCTTGGATCTACCTGGAAGAGGGAGAACTGCCAGCCAGGAGGTACTGCAGGATGCTGCAGTTGTCAGTTCTCCCGGGCTGGGTCGTCCCCATGACGCCGGCGCCACTCACGACCCGCACCACACTACAACTGTGTCGTCATCGTCACCAAGGTACAGTAAGAGACATTATTTTACACCTGACGCCATGCCCAGTGTTCTCAACCTTTCACCTTTCTTTATGTGTTCCTCGCGGCCTTTCCTTTGCTCTCCAGTACTTGTACTCTGAGAAAATAAATTTTCACAGCTGTCATAGTTGTATAAAGTGTATGACTGTATAAATCAGTGTGAACTCTCGTGTGTGCACTAATAGTACACACAAGTCGAAATTCTTTAACTAGGAACTTAAATCTGCCATATTTGGTAACTCCAGACAGCCCACATCATCAGTACACCAAAGATATTACAAGTGTGGTTGTATGCCTGGTCCCCAATTAATTAGAGCAGCTGAACATATATACATCAGTTGTTTAGCACCTCGCGGCTTCATCACTTTGAAGGCGTCAGAGGGAAATTTTCAGGTTTGTGGTTAGGAGGAGGAGAAATAAGGGTCGACCATCTATAATTACTCAACTGCCGTAGGCCTCAGCCATGACGTATCCATGACGTCATGGCCCTAACTGACATGAGTAATCTCTTTTCATTGGATCAGGCACTATTACTTGTATCTCATTAGCCACTCATAAACTGGACCATAAACTGGACTGTTGTACCCGCGGGAAAGTCAGTGAAGTATAGCTTGGGCGTGCCAGTCATTCTGCCTCCAGAGTTTGTCTACATCAGAAGTGCGTCAGTCAAGCTATATGGCCACTAGTGCAGAGTACCGCATGACAACTCGATACGACTCCTTAGTTCCATACAACGTGATCATCTAGAGAATCGCGGTCATGGTAGATGAATATCAATTGTGATTTTCGGGTTACTTGACTGGTAGAGAATTGATGTGAAACCCAGTGATCTCCAGCAGAGGAGATCACGGGGTTTCATCATCATTGACCTTTAGCACGGGTTGAGCTCGAACAACTGGACACAGGCGGTAACTTAGTACCGAAATAAGCCACTGAGACATTAGAACTTTTTTTTCAGTATCAGGGTAGTTAACAAATGGAATGCACTAAGCAGTGGTGTAGTGGAGGCAGACTCCATATACAGTTTCAAATGTAGATTTGATAGAGCCCAATAGGCTCAGGAACCATTACACGAGTTTATTGACTGTTGAGAAGTGGGGGGGGGGGGGTATCAAAGGGACAAAGCTCAACCCCCCCACGCAAGCACAACTAGGTGAGTGCAACTAGGTGATGTTACAGAGTTCAGCCTGTATTCCCCTGTCCCAGCATAAGAGAGTCATACTTCCCTATCTGTTCATCTCTAGAAGAAGCTTTGTTTGATTTTTAATATTTGAAAGGATGCAACATGAAGCATTTAGAAGACATCAATTTTAGTTTACTGGGATGAGTCTATGTGGCGCCTCCGCCACGTGGAGATGGCGGAGGCGGATGGCGTTATATCCGTTAAGATATGGTGGTGTGAGCAAGATGGGCTGGAGAGCTCCCGCTCGGAGACGAGAATCCCAGTGCATGCTGGGTACCGTGCCAGCTGGGGCGTGATTGGTTGACGGCGGGGGGCTTGGCCAGGTTGCCCAATGGCGCCGCACCCCAGGCGTGACAAAGAATGACGTCAGGCGCCCCTGCAGAGTGAGGCGGGAAATCTGAGGACTCGATACCAAGGTTGCTGTTCAGCGAATGTAAGCTCGAGCGATTACCCGTTCTGGAGAGGTATAGGCCTCCAATGAGGTAAAATTCCATCAGCTGCCGTGCGTTAAGGAAGAGGGGGAGTCGACATTAAGAAAGATGGTGGCCTGTCGACTCCTGAGGGAGTATTGAGGAAGAATTGGATGGTGAGGATTGCACCAGTGGCTTGGCCACGACAGTGAACTTGGGTACATCGAGAAGCGACGCTGGGGGTTGCTGGCCAACCGTGGACCGTGCACGACATGGAGTTGTATGAAGAAAACTTGGCAGAGGTCCTAGTCCTGTGCAGTTTAACAACCGTTTATCCATACAACGAAGTTACAGGAGAGGCAGGTGAACCAGTACGCGGAAGTGCATTGGTCTAGGTAGGCCAGACGACTTCGGTATCAATCTAACGTCTGGGAAGGAGGAGCGCTTGAGAAGGAGTGTGAGCTGGCAGCGTGTGACAGCGCTTCCCTCTTGGGAGATACACTCGCCAAGAGGGAAGTCGATTTAGATGTCTTGGACCTGTGAGGAGCTACTCAATGGTTCTACGCTGGGATGGATCTATGGTCTACAGTTCCGTGTTATAAGGTTGATAACTTTGCCCTCCCATTGTCCCCTTTGGTTAGGAAAGGTACTGTACCTTTGTAGGGTGATAAGCGGAAGTTAGGCGAGGAGTGACAGCGGTCATCGACCACTGTTGTTATTAATTATTGTGTACCAGACTTTGTTTTCATGAGTTGATTAAATAATGGTGTAAAAGTTCCACGCATATAAAGAGGCATTGCAATATCTATTTATGTTCATTAGATATAAGGTGGTTGAAAAATAGCCTCATTACGATCAGTTGGAAAATATTGAAGTGTTTTCAATATTAGCCATATTGTGACTTAATTCCAAAAGTGTTGCCAGCGAACTGATCTATGGAGATTTTACTGGCTGGAATAGTGTAGCTTATTCGTGAGTAAACGAATCATATTTCACTAGTGGTGTTTCCTTCCTCTGCTTCAATGCTTTTATATGATGTTATTGGGTTTACTCTACATCACAATATTAATGAGGGAGCACTTGACTGAGTGAGGCGACATTCCACTGTGTGGGAAGAATTACTTGATCACAGAGTAGAGCGAGACAAGTTGGCGACATAGAGAAAGAGACAAATCAACCAAATTCAGGGAAATAAATCACCGGTACAACTTTGTTCCAATAGGGACTGAGACCCTAGGCCCACGGAGGAGAGAGCACAAGAAGGTTTCTTAAGGATCTTGGTTCCATTCTCATTGACACTACAAGAGACCATAGAGCTGCAAGTTTTTCTTCCAGCGCCTCAGTGTGGCGATCCAGAGAGGGAATGCCCGGCGTCGGAGTAGTTCGAAGAAATCTACAGCCTCTAGGAAACAAACTTCCCTTTATTTCCTCTTAATGTCCACTTTTTGTAACCAATCAGATATGTAACTGATTGGTTACAAAACCAATTGGTTACCTTGTATAATAAAGTGTATAACATAAAATAAAGGGATGTAGGAGAAGTGAATACTCATACGTATTCAGAGTTAAATGGCGAGTTTTTATCTGAATGCTCTGTATTTCCTTCTTCGAGACTGAGTCCCTACAACTGTATAAGAGTAAGTATATTTTGGGAGCAGGTTTTTTTATCACATGTCATTAAACACAACACCCCCACCCCAAGCTCTTTTTCCCCCCCAACCCCCCTCCCTCCCTACCCCCCAACCCCACCCCAGGTTCCCCTTCATTCGCCAACCAATGACCTCACCACCACACGCCCCCCCCCTTCTCCCCCATCTCATGTCCTTATTGATCCCCAACCCCAAACCCCTCTCAGGTACACCTAATACCTTCCTTGTTTTTTCATTCCGAATCCTTCAACCCCCCTTACACCCCAGATCCCCCAGGTACTCCTTCCTAGGTCCTCCTTCCTCCCCGAGACACCCCTTGTCCCTCTACTCCATTAGAATCAACAGAAACTGAGGATGGACAGAAGAAAGTAAGCTTCAAGGTAATGTACTCAAACATACATGGTATTACAAGCAAGGCAAGTGAACCTAGGGAAAGGGCCCAAGAAGTGAATCTGGATGTAATGGGACTCACAGAAACAAAACTCTCAGGAATCATAATAAATGCAGTGTTTCCCAAGGGACTACACTGTAATAACAAAAGAGAAGGATGGAAGGGGAGGAGGCAGAGTGGCCCTACTGATGAGAAAGGAATGGAGTTTCGATGAGATGGTTATCCTGGGCTGTGAGGGGTTCAGAGACTAAACAGGTACCATGACGAGGGAGGACCAAGAATAGTGGTAGTAGCAGCAGTTATATATGACCCACCATCAAATGATAGAAGACCATGGCAAGTGTATGCCAGAAACAACATGGCAATTAACACTATAATTAAGAGGGCAGCCTCTACTGCCTGTAGAAATCGATCCATTCTGCTCATCATAGGGCACTTCAATCATGGAAGGATAGACTGGGAAAACAAGGAACATATGGAGATGAGGAGACATGGAGAGCTAAACTATCAGAAGTGGCGACAAGAAACGTTTTAAGTCAGCATGTCATGGGACACACAAGAATGAGAGGCAGCGATGAAAAATCGAGTTTCGACCTAGTCTTCACTCTGAACGACTCCGACATAAGGTAAATCGGTTTAAAGCTCCTGTAGGAACCAGTAATCACAGTGTACTGATGTTTGAGTATTTGGTCGAAGAAGGGTTCATATGTACTCAAGGAAGCGCCCAGAAAACAAAAGGCTGCCATTCTGAAAGGAAAACTGAGGAGATAAGAAAATTCCTAATAGATATAACATGGGAAACAGAGCTCAGAGGAAAGACGGCCGAAGACATGACTACATCACAAAGAATTGTAGGGAGGCAGCAAACAAGTCCAGAAGGAACAAAATTAAATTCAGATGAGAAACCCATGGTTTAATCAGAGATGTAAGCTGGCAAAGCAACTAAGTACAAGAGCATGGAGAAACTATAGGAATAACAGGACACTCGAGATCTGAGAAAGATACCAGAATGCCAGGAATAATCGTCAGTCTGAGAAGAGAGGCAGAAGGCCAATATGAAAATGACGTAGCAAGCAAGGCAAAGACTCAACCTAAATTGCTGCACAACCATATCAGGAGAAAAACAACAGTGAAGGAACAGGTAATAAAACTGAGGATAGGGGCAGACAGATTAACTCAATAAGAAATTCCAGGAGGTCTTCACAGTAGACCAAGGAAAAGACACCCCTATATGAGTTTGTGATTACCAGTGGGAAGATGAGAAAGCATCTGCTAGAGTTGGATGTGAGAAAGGCTATAGACCCGGATGGAATCTCACCATGCATACTGAAGGAAGGAGCAGAAGCACTGTGC